CCCCCCCCCCCCCCCCCCCCCAGCCACTGTCTCTGGCCTGCGCAGGCTCCCAGGCTTTCTTTGGCCTGCAGTGTCCTCTCCTCTCTCCCTCCACCCGGCACAGGCCAGCTCCCCTGCCCAGCCTAGCACGGGGGTCCTGCTCTCCAGGAATTACACTACCCCGTCTCCCCGACCCCCTCTCAGGTCTCGTCCGCTGCCGAAGCTGACAGTCAGCATCTGTCTCCATAGTGGATGCTGAGACCAGCTCCCGCTCACTTGCATCCCTCCAGCAGCTTTTGCAGAGAGCCTAGAAATCGAGGTGCTCACACACCCACCTGCCTGCCCTCCACAGCCATTCACAAAGGAGCACCGCTAGGCGCAGCCATGAGCTAGACGCCGGGAACAGAGATGAGCCGGGGCGACCCTTAACCCAGCAGTGGGGTTGGCAGAAAAAGCAGGCTCATAACACAGGGCATACCCCAGAGTCACACCTGACAGTGACAGAGATGGGACACTGTGGGGGTCAGTGCAGCCGGAGGAGACTGAGCCTGCAGCCTACAGAGGTACCCAGCAAGAGGGAAGGTTTGAAGGCCTCTGCCCAAATCCGATTCTGCCTCTTCGTAGCTGTGCAACCTTGAGCAAGTTACTTAAACTCTCTGTCCCCATGTTCCCTCATCTGTAAGGTGGGTATAACTGCAGTGCTCATCTCATATGGTGATATGAGGATTAACTGAGTCATACAGGAGCCAGCAGGTAGCACAGTAGTTATGGCACTGGACTCCCCACATGGCGGAGCGTGGTTCGAGTACCAGATCCGGGGGTTTGAAAATCATGCTGGGCACGTGTGCATGCCTGCCCCAAATCCCAAGAGAACGGAGGAGAAGGGATTGTGGTGTGGCCATAGCCTAGGGGTGATTTTCACTTTCCCTCTCACTGTCTGTCTCTTCCCAGTGAGTACGCACACCCTATGGCAAAACCTTATGGGGCGGGGAGAGTCATGTGAAATACTGAAACCCACATCTGCTCCAAACTAAGCACCCATGTCTGTCGGTTCTGATTATTTCCGGGTGGGAGGAACCAGGAAAAGCTCCCGAGAGTTCACACGGTCCCTGGATTAATCCCGAAGTCTTCACACTGCACTTGGCCATGCTGGCCACTCCCTTAGCCAATGGCCTGCTCCTGGGTCTCTGGGCTCGGAGCACTGAGCAGCTCTAAGTACATGGAAGTCCCCCACAGGATTTCCCAGGCCTGGAGGGACTTGCAGTGCTGCTAGTAAGGAAAGCCCCTGCTCAGAAGGAAGGCATTCAGTGCAGACTTCACGTGTCGGGCACGGCCCTATAGGTGCTGTGGCCTGGCACCCAGGCAAGAACACGGCCGACACGTGCACAACAGCAGCCCGCGAGAGCAGCGAGTTTCCAGCTGGCTCCTCCAGGCCTGGCTGGCCGTGCAGTGGACACCGAGGAGGGGGAGAGTAGAGTCGGCCAGCCCAGGAGCAGTCGAGCAGTCATTACGACAGCCACGCCGAACGACTTCCAGGGCCCGAGCACTAAGGCAGGCCGGCTCCCTCTGTTCTAAGCAGTAGGACTATAGCTTTATTAAATATGCATGGAGATCACCTTGTTACTGTGCCGAATGATTTTGTGTACTGAAGGCGAGCTGCCCGCCCCGCGCTGCACTCAGAAACTTGGCAATTTCCCTGGCTGCAAACCCCGGTGCCTGCTCCTCGCGGCCCCCAAGGCGGAGGCTCCCCAGCCACCCTTTCTCCATCCTGCCTCCCCTTTCTCTCTATCAGCAGCCCTCCTGACACCCTCCACAGCGTTCAAAGCAGGTGAAAGCCCATATTGATCCCTTCTTAAGAGTGGCTGGTCCAGAACTAATCTTAAACCACTGCAGTCTTGAGCTGGAGCTGGTAGCCACTAGGAACCCAGGGACGGTGGAGCCAGGGCTGAAACGCTCGGGC